TTGCAGATTTTTAAAGTACAGTTCCAGACCACCCATGCCTTGAGACATTGAATTAAAAGGCAAAATGTCTTCTGGATGCTCAGTTCCCACATTTAACTCTTGGAATACATTTACCTATGGAAATTAAAGTACTTTATTCCTTTTCATTCAGGTCCATGGCTGTTCTCATTTATAGGAACAACTGGGCTGCTGGAAATACAGCTCAGGCCCCTACTTTACACAATTTAGTGCTTCATAGGTGTAATGCCAGGGAACAAGCTGTGCTTTCTACAGGTCTGCCCTAATTTAGCTATGTCTCTGAACAGAAAATGTGTTTAAAAGCCTCTAAGTTCATGGTCATTATGTTGCCATAAAATTTCAATGATAATTGTTCCATCTGCTCAATAGAGTAAATTTTGCAGCTGAATGCATGAATGAGTGTTCCCAGTGATGAAGGACCTGAGTTTCAACAAGTCTGATAACTTGTTACCACTCCCAGATGACCAGCATATATGGGACATGCCCAAGCCCTTCCAAATCATGCCCTAAGAAAGTGCATCTAAAGACAGTCCTTTGTTAAAGTCTTTATGCCAACTTCATACTCTGTTTACCTTCTGAACAGAGCACGGATGGACCAGCTCAAGACTGACAGAAGCCAGGAGCTGACTTACCCTTTGGAATACAATAGAGGCCAAATTTACTCACAGCAGAAAGAAAAAATTGCTCAGAGCAAGTTCAAAGGAACAGCCAGAGTCACTGGAGAAAATGTGAAAGCAGAGGAGATACAAGTAAGCTGTCTTTTGTAGAATAAATATGGTGTCCTCATCAATAAATATTCTTCCATGTAGGCACCTTCTATTTGTCACAGATGGCCAGTTATTCATGCTACATCTCGAGGACAGTTGTGTGCACAGTGAAGATTTTTCATGTTAATAGGACATTACTTTGGTTCATGTTTGAAATGTACATCTCACTGCCTTTATATAAGAAGAAAACTAGGTTGTGCCTTCTATTTTGTAAGGGAGCTTGGCAGGCTCCCATCTTCCTCATACTTCCTTGTACTGGTTTTCCTAGATCTTCCTCTTGAAAATTTTCAAACTCCTGCCTAGTGGACTAAATAGTGGACTAAATAGTGGACTAAAAATATTTTTGATATAAGGAGCCATTGTGCTAGTGACACAGAGCTATTTGTCATCATTCTTTATTCTCATCCCTGAGCTTGGAGTTTCTTGATTTTTTTTCTTTAACCTATCCTGACCTTTGGCTTTGAGGTATTTTGATGACACCTAATTGTGTATCTAACAAGCTAACCTGCCTAATAACATCCTTGAATAATTTATTCTGGTTTCTTCTAAGTTCCTTTAGGGGTTTCTGTCTGTTTGAATCCTCTATTTCAGCCTCCTTAGCAATAAGTAATCTCTGAATATCTGTGGCTATTATCCCTATTAAAAAGAGCTAGACATAATATGACTCAAAGTAATTTTCTAGAAGACTCAGTGATAAAGAGAAGAAAAAAATTGTGAGCCCTGTGAAACAGTGATAAAGGAGACAGGGGAAGCTAAAAGCTTTATTTTTACAAGATAAAAGAGTAGGCAATGGTAATGCTCAGAAATGTCTGGAACAGTGTTCTCCTGCAAAAGGATATCTAAAGTAAATGGATATAATTGACAGAAGACTACTTCAATTATTTTATTCACCAGAAAAGTTTCAGAACAAATTCAGCTGGCAAGACAGTATTTCATTCAAACTTTCTAAACTTTCTTTATTTTTAATTTGTACATTTTTAAAATACCTATTTTTGTGCTGTAATTACTGCACTTGTTTTCACTGCCCATCTTCATTGACACTCAGAAATTATTAACTGTTTCAGTGAGGTTCTATTAGTATTTTGAATAAAATGTTTTAATATCTTCTCTACACAATATTTTTAAACTTCAGCTTTATTTCCACCTGAGATTTTAAAAAAAGTGTTCAGTTTTCTGCCAAGGAATAATTGTGTTTCCTGGCTGGATCCAGCCATAGAAACAAAGTTTGATAGAATTGTTTTAAACTTTTGTTCCCACCCAATAACATCAAAGTTCAAAAAGTCAGTTTTCCACAAACCAATTACAAAACACTTTCTGAAACACCTGTGTGATTCCCAAGCTCAGAAGTCTGATTTTTCTTGAAAATGGCCAATGGATTTTCCAAATTCTGATCAGGCCGCTCAGCAAATAAAGGATGGTAATGAGGACACAAGTGAGCAGATACACAAATGCAGGGAAAGTAGGAAAGGGTTGCATGGGACAATTGGTTGACTACTGAGCAAACTGAACATTTCTAGCTTAACTTCACCAACACTGCATTTGCAGTATCCAGCACATGTGCTTTGAAGCAAGAGGACTCAGTGTTGGCATCAGCATGGGTGAGGCAAGAAGAAGGGAGTAGGAAAAAATAAGGGGGATGTATATGGAAAAGTTCTCTCCAAAATGCACCAAATTTCACTACTTTCATTTTCCTGAACTCATTTGAAAATTATATCTTTGCAATGCCCTGCTGTTTGTAAGGACCACCTAATTACCCATGTGCCCTTGTCACTACATGAAGTTCTGATGAATCAATATTTTTGACATTAAAATATACTTTGTATCCTTGCCTTTTTTGAAGCATCCACATTTAATGGTGTCTGTTTGCATGATTAGTTTGCTTTTCCTGATTTTCCTTCACACAGCAAAGACTTCTCTCTGCTCACTTTGTAACAATTATTTTTTTTTAAAGAGGAGTTTGCAGAGTAGTGGGTTTTTTTGTTTGTTTTGCTTGGGTTTTTTTAACAAATAATTTCAAATGTGTTCTTTTTGTACTGTAGACCCTTATATTGAAGACCTAGATACTGCAGATCTTTAGGCAGAACAGAAGACTCCATGCTTCCTTCTGGGTGTATAAGGTGGGCATGCTGAGTGCACAGCAGACAATGACATGGCACACTTTTCTTCTCTATTGGTAGATATTAAAACAGCAGATTGCGGGACTGCAGGAGATGTTCAAGAGAAATGAGACCTGCTGGCATGCTGCCTATGGCAAGCTGAGAGACCAGGTTGAGATGCTGACCAGGCAGAACATGGAACTTCGAGATGAGCTCAGAGTTTCAGAATATCAGAGGTGGAAAGCAGAAAAAAACCCAGAAGCTGTGAATTTCATGAATCAAAAATCAGAGACCCTGGTACTGGATGATATAATCTGTTTAACAGTGTCTGAAAAATTCAGGCATAGTTTTTCTTTGGAGCTGGCATACTTGAATAATGTTCCTCCATCCCTGTCCCATTTAGCCTGAAGGCAGGAAGATCAGCTCTGTAGTAAGCCATGTTAAAATTCCACTTAACCCTAGTTATCCATGAGGCAGGTACCTCTACAAGGTGATTCACCCAATCTATCTTATACACTTATATCAGGGCAGATGTCTCCTCCCACTAACTAGTCAGGGAGTCTAGAGAACTGATTTACATTCAGTGCCCAAATTAGATATCTAAACTCTCCTTAAATTAATTATAATATTTATGAAAATAACATCATTTACTTTTTAATAAACCAGCTCTTCAGCCAGATGCAGACTGGTTTCTGGCAATAGATATAGTGGAGCCTTTTATTAAATCACATTTCAGTTCTTATTTTGTGCTGTAAACCTTCTGGGAAGAAAACACTGTCAGTGGCCTGTCTTGCAAAGGCACAAGCTGAAATCCTGAACGGGAGTTACACTGGGGTGTAGCAGGAAAGACAATCAGAGTGGAAAATACAGCTAGCTAGTGTAAATGTCTTTGGTGGTCTCCTAAACTCAAAAAGGTTTAACAGATTCTACTGCTCTTTCTCACTCAGTATCCCATTTATGTAATATACCTGTAGGGTTACTTCTCACCTTACTAAATAACTGAGTAACTTCATTTAAGGGATTTAAAGGAAGGGAGAAGAATGCTGCTACCCACTTTTTACACAGGACACAGCAAGCCTTTGTGAAAATAAATGGTTCAGACTAGAATTCAAAAGACAGAAGTTGGTTTGAGTGGATCATTTAATTTCCCTGTGTATTCAAGGGAGAAAAATAGGTGCCTTTACAGAAGGATCAGTTTCATCCTCTATGCATTAAGGCATCTAGAAGAGAAAATTACCTTCTAGATGGTGCGGTCTGGTGAGATGATTCCTACTCTTCCACAGAGTGGCTGAACCTATGAGAAAATAAAATCGAGCCATTTACTCCTAGCTATTTCCCTAATTTGCAAATCTAATTTCTACTAATCTGTCTTTAAAAGATGATAGAACCGCCAATTAACCTGTCCTTTGTTTTATGGAGTGAAGAAGCTTTGCTCTCTCTTTTTATTTTATGTTAATGTACTTGTTAATGAGATTTTTCAGCCACGGCTATTAAGTTCCATTGAAAATGTCATTTCAAGTTACATTTTACTTTATTTTTAATTCTCCCAAACCTACTTGTTCATATGACTCATCCTTTTATAGATTATGAAGGTCAGAAAAAAGCATTGAAGTCACATGAACAGAATAAAAAAATTAAATCCCAATCAAAACAAGGATAAGAAAAAGCTAATAACTTCTGCTGTAGGCCAGAGTTCTATATTATTTCTACTGCTTTAGGACATTTGGTGATGTAGAACTACTGCTCAAGCCACTGAAGATTTTTATTGTGTAAGAGTAGTCTTAGGATGCTGTATAGAAAGATGCTAGGATGCTATATTCAAAGATTGTTCTGCCTGACGCTGGGACATTTCAGTCTCTAGCAGAACAAGATGTGGAATTTCATTCACTGTGCTTAAATATAACTTTTTTATTATTTATTTTTTTTACAATAGAAGACCAGATGGCTTTGAGGGTTGTTTGATTCTACTAGCTTTGACTTGAACGTAAAATTATATATTTATAATAAATTCTCCATTAGGTTACAGAAGCTATTCTGCGAGAGACAGCACCTTCATCCAAAGAAGAAGAAAGATCATGGAGAGATAATCACAGAAGCCACAGCTTCTCTCATGTGGGGCCAAAGACATCTTTGAAGAAACATTTCTTTCAAGATGTGAAGAGCAAAGTATGCGTTCCTATTGTCTGTAGTCACTTTTCCACAGTTTCAAATATTTATTTAAGAGAATGCTCTCAGGAGTCAAAATCTGTGCAAATGAAAATCGTTGTATAAGCATGGCCATGTGTTCCTGCAGTGGGCTTGTGCTGTGCTTCAGTTTAACTTACTTTGTACTTTTCTTCTGGTTTTGCAGTAGCAAGAGACAAAGCTTTTTTCCCTTTTCCCAACCTAACAGAATTGCCTGTTTGCAGATATGCTCTGAATTCATTGTTACTGCTACTTCAAGGATTTGTTTTACAGCTAATTGCCATACCTTGCTTCAGCAAGGCATAAATCCAGTATCTTGCTTTTTGAGGCCTAACTTGCCAATAAGCACTAGTAGCCATCTGCCTGATAAAGTCAGAGGAAAATCATTTAGCTTTTTACAGGCTGCAACAAGTTAACTCGGTATGTCAAATGAGATGCTTGTTTCTGACGGACTTGTTTCTATGGCTGCTCCATCACAGCCCCCATACACGATTTCCTGCACATCTATTTAGAACATACAGATATCTAAATATCGCATTGTCTTTTTCATTGTCTTTTTCTCTTGGCTTTGTATTTCTTGTTTCTTATTATAAACATCTTGATTATTACAAGCTTCCTTTCTTCCTTTCGCTAGCATTCAGCCGCAATCTATTCTTCGTTCAAGTGAATAGTCTGTCTGCAGTTCCTCCTACCTATTGGAAACTAATCTCCTGACTCCATTTGCTAAAGTAAAATTTAGCTCAGATTAAGCAAATACATACCTTTCTCTGCCTGTTTAGGGACTGAAATCAAATGTAAAACATGTCAGATAAGAAACGAGGCAACTATTCTACCTCAGTGATTACGACAGTGTGTGGCTTGAAAGTCACTAGACAGTGGCTTTAGTGAATCCTGCATGGTGTCAGATACAAAAAGAGGTAAGAAGGACTCTAAGCTGCAGATGCTTATAAGAGAAGAATCAGTCATGTGTGAAATAGCTTCGAAGAGGATGCAGATACTATGTGCCTGCCTTCAAGACTGGCTGTATTGCTAATCAATATATGTTGTTTACAAGTCAAAAGGTGGAGGGTTTAGCTGCAGGAAATGGTTTTATTTGTTCTGTATTGATGCCAGATCTCCCCAGTCCCTTCTAAAACTGGGATCTTTCCATTCTTTTGTGTTGTGATGGACAGAATTACAAGTCAAACAAGTAAGGTGGAATATGCTATCTGTAGTTAAAGAGGCCAGTAAAGTAAAAAAATTCTCTTCGGTAGCTTACCCTGGAAAATTTCAAGGTCTGAAAGTTTGTTTCATCTGAACATCTCAAGCACTCTTGTGAAATGAAGGGAAACTAGAAACATTTTTTTCTACAGAGACTCCCTAAGACCTACTGATTTAATTTTTCTCCTGTGGCACAAAGGCATGTGCAAAAAACCCTATGGCTTTAGTAACAGTTCTGAGTAGGGGGAAGCTGAGGACAAGAGACTTTCAGGCTCACCATTATCTGAGGTTCACCATCCAACCAGCACTGGATCCAATCCAACTGGAATCCAGTACAAGCATGAGCTAGACTGGTGGGCATAGTGCCCAGACATCCTGAGTGAACTCTGAAAGAGACACATATTCTTACCTGATCTGATAGCAGAGGAAGTGCTTGCCCTAAATAGAGTGGCTGCTGATTACTTGAATCTAGAATTGAAGGTTCACGTAAATGAAACATTACAGAGAAGACCCAAATCTGTGTCATAGCAATAGATCTGAACATGGTGACTTACTTGTGTTACCTTTCTAACAGAGCTCTCTTGCTAGCAGGTGAATGCTTTCCCTCAAAGACTCTGAGTTTGGACAACTTTTAATTTTGGATATAGATAAAACAAACTTTCATGCTGTTTCTGTCCAGAATTGGGAACACATCAGTGAATGGGACAACCTTGACTAACAGAAGTAGAGATGCACACCACAGGGACTTACGTCTACCTGTGTAAAACATATAAGTTAAAGTTAGCTAGGACTAGTGAGTTACATCAGCTGTAATCAAGAATGCAAAACAACACTTAGCATCTGACAAAGTTAATAGAATTTGAGGGTATGTACAAAAAAACAATTGGGGAACATGTCCATAGTACAGATTCAAGACACAGACTTTTGAAATATGTGATTTTAGAAAAGAAACCTCAAACATATATGAGATGTTCTGCACCTCTGAAAAATAACTAGTCTGGTTGCCCATAATACTTTTATTAATTATTTCCTTTTTTGTACTGTAGCATGAACTAGGTAGTGACCACATCAAGCTGAGCTTTAGTGAAACAAGATATATGTCCATTTTAACTGTGTATTATCAATGATTCTTTCAGGATATGACTTGAAAGATGTAGAAGTTGGCCAGAATGTTAATATTTACTAATTAATATTTATCAATATGAATTCTTTCCAAACAAGCTGATTTCTGAGCGCATCACATTACACACTTGGCAGGAATGAGTTGCCAGTTTCCTGCCAGACATGCAACTATGGAAAGATGTTTGTGATTTCTATGAGAAAAGATGTATGCATTTGTGTGGGTGGGAGTTTGACTGAAAGTTTTACTGATAACATTTCTTAATGTTTTTTTCTCAGAAATGTTTCAGCCAATGTCAAATGTGCTTACTTCCAATCTTATTAGATGGATTTTGATGTCTAATCTTCCAAAGGATTTTTATGACCTTTGAGCATGTTATTTCCTTATCTGTGAATGTTTTTGCTGACCATTTACTAACTCTGAAACACGGAAGCATGAATTCTGGGAATATGTAGACAGACTGTCATAGCATTTGAATTTTCGCTGTTTTATCCATGAGTGTTTGTTGCTTTTCGATCTGTTAGCAGGAACGCAAATTCTACATCACACAAACAGTGATATTTGAAGGTTATAAGACGTATTAATTTATGGGAAATTTCCAGAACAATTTGCTTTATATCAGAATGATTAAGAACTGTAGATATTAGGATCTGGGAGAAGAGCTCATTAGAAAATTTCTAGGATTATTGTTGAGCATGAGGATCAAGGAGAACATCACATTTTTAAAGTTTCTCTGGTCTAGATGGGCCCTGAGTAACACCACCTCTTGGTCTCCACTGTCTGTCAGATAGCATAAATCTGTAGGATGGGAGGAACCTCAAGAGGTCACCTGGTCTGTCCTTTTGACGAGCTCAGGATCAGTGTCACTGATGGTTATTTCATTTGTGCTGTGGTAACTGCCATGAAAAAGATCCAAAATGGGCTGTCATTTTCTGCTGCCTACCTGCTCTTTTAGTTATGGAGTTTTACTTCATAGCTAAACTCCATCTTTTTGTTGTCACTAGCTAATCAGCTGATAGATTTTTATTCTGTTTTCAGTGCAGATGGGAAAAAATTGACCTACCTTGTTCATATTGGGACTCCATTTCTTCCTCCAACCCTGCAATTCCTTTGTATCAAGGATCTGCATTTACTGGCTATCCACATGTTTCCAATGAGGAAAAGTAAAAAGAATTACTGAGACAATTTGATGACTTAGTTTATGAAAGTGATAAAATTGAGACAATCTATATCAATAACTTCATAATGTGTGATTAATTAAAATACTGAGTCCTTGGGTCCTTAAAAAGTGTAGAGCTGAACTGCAGTGGTTGCCTGGGTTACAGTGATTGCTACGATTTATGAAATGAACTCTTAGACTGTCACCCATCTGTATGAAAACAGAGACCATGCATAGTTCCCTAAGTCTCTCTCCATTGCCCTGACATTACTGCTTTAAAAGCAGGTATGTTGGTGTATAATTTCAAGAGGTGTTATCCATGTGATGCATAAAAAATGAAATCAGCAACTTTTGCAATGGTATATGTAGCAACTTGGAGTACTTTTTACTGACACTGTTCTGCATGGACACTCCCTTAAGGATTGATTATTCTTTAGACACATAGGGAAAAAACCTCACCATGTTAATGGAAACACCCCTTCTTCCTCTATGTCTGGCTGGAGCTGATGAATTATTTGAGCTGCTGTGCCCTGTTGACACTTTCTGATGATGGTGAGCTGGTTTAAAACTAACCAGGCAGGAAAAAAAGCAGTTCATTTTTGCCTGACTGTACTCACTGAGCTCTGTGCTTGCTCATGCCTCATAAAGGAGAGGCTGAAAACATACAGGTGAGAACAGAGGGAGAGGAGTGGGATTCCAGCAATTGGAATCATAAAATCGTAGAATCTGGGGTGAGATTGGTTTGAGTTGCCGTGAGACTGCACCAATAGCTTTTCAGGTTCTCTTAAATCACTTGGTAGTTTCAGTCTTGAGATCTTTAGCAGTAAAATGATGGCTGAAGGGCTCTTTTGTTCTATCAGTCTGAAATTTCTGAGACAATATCTCTTAATAAAAAATAGTTTTAAACGTCTTTAGTACTATACTATGTCTCAAGCATATTTTGACAGTTTGCCTGCTCACTTGCCTTTGAAATCATGGTTATATTTGGAGAACTCAGACATATTTGGAGAATCTGCCTGCAGAAAACATCTCTAAATTAAAAATAGAAATAATATTAATTTAACAATGGATTTTCTTAATTTCTGTACCTTTAAGCATCCTTGTCTGAGAGAGGTAATCAGTTGTATATCTCCTGCTCAGAACCATTTGGTGCTTGGATGAAAATATTTAGCTTTTCAAAATTCTACAACTTTTTGGTGTTGCAATAGGGTTTCTCTCTCGTCACTTTCCTTGTATGCACAGACATTTTATTGTACCGTCATTTATTAATATAAATAAGCAAATACTATTCACAACAACTACCAATCCCTTAAATTTCATTAATCACATGGAGAACATATTATAGCTGTCAAAAAACAGTCATAGTGACTGCTGTCAGAGAAGGAATTGTGCAGTCTTCTCATTTTTGTACTTTGCTAGTCTCATGCCCATTCAGCAACAGGTCATGGAACTGAGCAAATGAAGTTGATGGGAAACATGTGCTATTTACACTCACTTTCCCAAGCAGCCACCCTCCAGTGTGTGTGATGTTTCAAAATCAGAGGACCTGGTACCATTCCCATGGTACCATTTTTCATGAGTTTTTTGGTGTTTAGTTGTTTCCGACCATCATGTGATTGTTCCTAGTCATTCACCAGATCAATGTATTAGAGATTCTTCTGCTATCAGTTCTGACAGACACAGGCATCATCCCTTGCCATTTCTGGGACAACTTCAGCAACGTGGGCAGTGAGACTGTGCCTTTGTCTCATACCACCAGGCATTTCTACATCAGGTTCCATACCTTCAAAGTTTTGATTAGGCGAGAGTGCAACCTCAGTTTTACTGTCACACCAATATAATGTTTTCTTTGCAGTTGTGAACTGCAGCCAGACATTTTGTAAATCTCAAATATCTCAGAGTGATCATGCAGGAATATTGTGTGTTTCCTCTGTGCTCTGATCTAAGGACTCCCATAAAAAAAGGGGAAGTGCTTTTGAGCAACTGTGAACTTTCCAGTCTAAATATCTGCTATAATTTGAAACTGCCCACATCTTATTTCACTTCTGTGACTCCTGTCTTAGGTTCCTATGAGGCTTGTGTCAGCCTTAGTTAATGGAAATGCATAAGGGCAAAATGTAAAAAGGGTGGACATCTGGCTGGTAAAAATGAAATGTCACACAAGAAATGTTACTGGGTTCAGTTCAGTTGTGGTATCCCAGGGAAGGATATCCTTCCTGTTCTTGGCAGGGTGGTTGAAGTGATGACTGAGAGCAGCTGTTGTCCTCACGTTGCGACACTAAGATTGCCCTTGACCTGTGTAATTGTCCAAGTAGAGAGAATGTGGGAAGCAAAATACCCCAAATAGAGAATTATGTAAAAAATGTGTGTGTGTTTGTGTGTATGCCTGCATACAAAAATATGTATTTTCCTACAAGTTTTAAACACTTAATGAAGCTCATGTTGTAGAAAGATTTTTAATGCTATCTGCAGATGTTTATTTCAACTTAATACAAATGTATTCAAACCTTTTAGGCAATAAAAAGCTCTGTGCCAAGGGCTGATCCTTTGAGATCAATGACAAAGGAACATCAAGAAAAGAAACCATCCAACTGCTCTGTTGGCAGAAACACAACACCAACTGGCAGGAGAACACTTCACCAGGGAAGACTGACACCTTTTGAACCAGAAAAAGTAAGCCAGTAGCAAGCTCTATTTAGACTGCCTTCATTTTTGCCTGACAGTATTTTTTTAGAAGCTGGATCAGGATCATGATGCCCACGTAGAAGCAGCTTGTTCCTGGTACCGCAGGGTTTTTGCCAGAAATTAGCTTAGAGACTGTCAGTACACTGGGCACCTGCAGGCCAGAGCCTGGGTGAATGCTTTGAAGCCTGCACCCCTGCCCGCAGAAGTTCAGAGGTGATCACATGCACCAAGCATCCAGGCATTGCATGGGCCTGTGGCTCCCTGGAGGCCAGGGGCAGAAAGCATCTTGGCTCCCCAGAAGGTCAGGCCAGAATCCCAGTCATCAAACCCCATAATGATGAGGCAGGTCTGGGGTTACACCAGGAAGTCAGTCCCTGGGTCAGGGCTGGGGTTTGGATCAGGAAGGTGCATGACCAAGCACAGGCATTGCTACAATGCAATCCAACAAGGACCAAGTGTGAGAGCCACAGCTGAAAAGTGGCTCCCAAGAAAAAGAGTGGGGAAAGGCGTGGAATGGTGAACAACTGTCTCTGGCTGCATCTAGCTCTTTCGCTCACATCTCTTTCTTCACAACTGTCTGAACTAAATTAGGCACCTGCATCATATCAGCAAGCTGGTCGTGCACACAGGCAGCTAAGCTCCTAGGAAGTGCACTCCAGCCATGTATGTCACTGATGGATCCCTTGTTACAGTGAAGTATGACTGTATGTCAGGGCCTCTCCATTTTGTCTCAGGTTGTACATCAGCCCTCTCCTACTGGGCGAAGAACAGATGACAGGAAATCACCTGGAGCTGTCTCACATCTGAGTGGTTTTAAGGACCCCAACTCATCAGCCTATGTAAAAGGTAATATTTGTGAGAATTTTCTGCTTATTCAGCGTGGTTATCTACTTGGAGACATTGGTCCCCAGCTCTTGGCTCACAGGCAGTATATTGTCACTAAAACTTTCCTATAATTCTTAGAGCAATTGTAAAACATGTATTTTGCAAGAGAGTGAGAATAGATGGTGCTGTTACCCACAGAAATTTACTTGTTGAGTTTGTTGTCCTGGAAACCCAGAACTGGGGGAACGGATGTGGTCTGCACTTCTTTTTGGTCCAGGACAAAGCATCTTCAGGTTGATAGGCAATCTGTTAACAAACATTATCAGTTTGAAAAAGCAACGTGTTAAAAGAATCTGAGAAATGGCAACTTTAAAAAACCTTCTCAGATAGGTATGGAAACGTGATTCAGCAGTTTTCATATGCTTTCAATGACCCCTTCTACTTTGCTTTTTCTCATAGGCAGGTCTTTATCCATTTCAGATAGCTCAGAAGACATGCCCCTCTCACATAAGCACAGCAACAACACTGGCAGCTTCGCACTCTGCAGTAACAATGAAGAAACAGAGGTATTTCACCATGTAACTCTATAAAATAATTCAGTGAGTCTGTGATCTTATTTTTATATACAGCATACCAACTGTCATTTAGCTGGGAAAAACACTATTCTGGCTTTATTTTTTTACCTCTTCTCATGATAAGTACACTCTTGAAAAAAAATTTTGTAATGGCTTTCAAATAATACAGAAGATTTCTTTATCAAGATATTCCTGCACAACTGTTGAAAATTAATACATTTATGTTGCTAGTTAACATTTTAGTTTTGGCTCAGGAAGAAGAGGTAAAATCTCACTAAACCTCATTAAAACCTCAGAATAAAGTGGGTTTTGTGACCACACACAGGAGAAGTGGCATAATGACATATGACATGACAACAAAGTATCTACAAACAGTTCTCCTGCTTTTCTGGATGCTGAAGCAAAGGGTTGAACAACTTATGGTTCTGGCTCTTGTATGATCAGCAACTGTCTTCTTTTCATCTGTGAACTAAAAAGACATCAAGAAAAACAAAATATTCCATTCCCATTTCCCATGATATGCAACAGAAACAGAAATCTAGGCAGAGAAGTGGCTGCTTCAGGCACTGTGCTTACAGCTTTTTACTGGAGCATCTCACTGCCCTGTGGGGAGCAGTACTCCTGGATTCTTTGGATCCCACAATTCAAAATACATCACATCTTCAAACTGTAATTAACATTAGTTATTAACTGTTCTGGATGCTATGTACTAGATGTCAATTAATTTAAGGCTCCTTTATGCTGTCAGACAATGCAGAGAGCACTTATTGTAACAGTAAATTGGATGTGCAACATCCTGAATAGCTCCTAGTTACATCGTTAGCATTACTTACAGCTAAGAGCCATGCCATTTGCTTTGGATCTAGCTAGTGCAGGCACTTTCCCTTGCAAATCAGTAACCCAATATTCAGAGACAGTTCTGTTCTTTGCCCCTGTGTTTATTCTCTCAATTTCCTATAATGAAGTTTCATCAGAATGCACTGTTGTGCCCTCATTTTTGGACTTTTTCTATGCAATCTTTTGCTTTTGTAAACTGAAGTTAATTGAAGTTAATGTGTAACATTTCTAGTTATGCACAAGAGATAAAAAATCATTTGAAATGCATGACAACAGCAGAAAGGACAGCTCTCCTCTATGTGTGTGAAAATAAATGTGTTTCTTTCACAGTTGATTAAAATTAATGAAAATAAGTTCAAGATGTTACTGTTTATATAACACTGACTGCGATGTCTTCATAATACAGCCTCCAAAGTCAATATTATCTAGAAGAACAGTGTTACATCAAGAAAAGAAAAAAAGTGAGGAAGAGGTGCAGGAAAAAATAGAGTATCGTGATGGCAAGGTGAGATAAAACAGGATGAAAAAATACTTGATCAGATCACCAACAGGACTGCAGTAAAGATGAGAATCAGATAACCAGAGACAATTATGTATCCAGTGAATTGTCTATTCCTTATAGGAGAGCTGAGGTGTAAAGTTCATGCCATCAATGATAGGAAATATGCATAGCTGATGGGCTGGAAATCAAGTAATGAAATTATTTTCTAATCTCCTACATAGATTTCCTCTATGACTTTTTGTTTCAGTTGCCTCATTTGTGGGCTGGGAGGAACAATATGCTTACCATTAGAAATTAAAATGTGCTAGTGGGATAGTGATGGTGTTTTGTAGTGCAAGATTTAGGGCCATTCTGTTTTTTTTCTTGGAAGTGGATCTAATGGTAATGAGCTGTGCCAGCTGGACACCACTTGTGGGAGAAGTCTTTCATTATACACAGCTGGCTGCACCTGGAATAGCATCAGCAAAATTGTGCTTGATGTAACCTGTCCAGTTTGCTCAAGCCACCTGCCAAAATCCTCAGCAACACTCAGCTGCATATAAAGTTTGTTTCCAACTGCCCCTTGTAATGAGGCCTATAGCTCAGTTTGGCGGCTGGTTTTGCTCTTTTTTTCTGTAAATCACTGTCTTCCAGGAGGGGATGAGTGGGCACTTCCTGCTGGCTTCCCATTGTGTCACTGCATTTCCTGCTACCAAACCGGGTAATTTGTTCCCGAGTGTCCATGTCACCTTTTCTGCACAGGACCTCTTGGATTATCTTGAAAGGCTGATTCTGTAGATGAGTCTATGCATTGGAAACTTGGTGCATTGCTTTTGGGAAAGGTTGTCTGCAAGGTGACCAAGTGAGCTGCTGCTAGTTTCATTTCTGACAGACAGGCAATCTTTCCAACATGGTCGCTGTTCATCTGGGCTACATGTGAACTCAGTCCCCGATGCCCCTTGAATTACACTACTCCAGGCAGGCTTGTGCTGTTAAAACATTGCCTTGATATTGACTGAAGGCAATCTATGCCCAATTACATTTGTCAGTTCCGAGTAAGGATTTTTGGCTAGATAAAGTTAAGACAGCAATTCAATTTATTTGTCTGTTCAATTCTGGGCTTCTCTTCTCAGCCTGCCAATACAGGTGTTGATTCGTGATACCTTCCAGTGAGCAGTCATGGCTTTTGCCATGCAACATTTGTTCAAGGAATATTGGTTTGAAATGCCAATTCCTTTATATGTAACAAATGCTGAGATGGGCTATGTGAAAGCTTCCACCAATCACAGTTTGCCCTCTTAGAAGTAAAAAATACATCTGTTGTTTTGATCCTCAAAAGATAATTAAGTGTGAAAAAAGTTCACTCTGACATTTTTACCATTGGATTTTATTTATAAAATTGAGTGGACTTCCTGGTGCAACTAAAGAGAGAGGTTAAAGTGGGGACTGATGCCTTTAGAAAGAGATATTAACACTCATTTAAACTATGTAGAACTTCTTCTAGCAATACCTTTTGTATTAAGTAGGTAAAAGAACATCTTTCCACTACTAACTAGTAATTTTAAAATAAAATTATTTCTAGAAAACCCAAGAATCTTGCCCTCAGTAATCATTACAATGCCTGTTTGGGGAAATATTGCATTTCTCTTCCCCAAGCATATTTATTATTTATTCCTTTTTTTTTTTTTTTTTTTTTTTTTTTGTGGGGGGGGAAGGAGAGGGGGAAGGGGGAGTTGGGAGTTATCCCCTTTTCATGGAGAGTCTGATAAAGTTGAACCCATATGGCAGACCTACAGTGCACCTTTCAGTTGTCTTCTTCATTGGACTTCACTAAATGAATTATATTATGAGATTTGATACATGCTGAACAGAATCAGCTGCCACATTAATTCGAGGAAAATTGATTAACCAGAGGCTATGCTAGCTATGCGGTCTTCTTTGACCAATGCACTGCTTGTAGAAGAGCATACTGATGACATTATTGCCCCCTGTTGTTCAGAAATTATCAGCAATTTTGCAGACCTCTGCATGCAGCAACATTTAATTCTCTGATACTTAATGCCTGTACAGGCTTATATAACTTGAAATAAAATGGTTGTCAGCACATGTCACCAGTCTGTGTTAATACATCAAGCTCAATCATTTTAGTTCACACAATCCAGAACCGGGGTCCCTTGTGTGGAATTTGTCCCAGCATAAGTGAAATTAGTACAGACAGTAACTCACTTTGGTCAAGGGAAAACCTGAATGGCTTCACTTTTGTCATAGAGCTGTGTGCCTTACCTCGCTCAGCAGATAAAAAAGGTGGCGGGGTGGGAACTTACGCTGAGTGCTACGAGTTCATCTTGTGAAAATCACTTCTGGTCTCTTTTACAAACAAATGAGGCAAAAAAATTGTACCTGTGCTGCAGAGAGTTTTTGAAATAGCAAGGCATTGTGTGACTTACTTCCAGCTCCAATTTAATTGGAAGGCAGTGCAATGTTACTAATTTCCTGTAACTTAATTTACATTAGATACTCTGTGTGTTTGAAGGTAGAAGAGGTGCTTACTGATGGACGTCGAATCATCACTTTCCGCAATGGTACTAAAAAAGAGATCAGTGCTGATAAAAGGATGACCACAATTAACTTTTTCAATGGAGATGTAAAGAAGATCATGCCAGATCAGAGCATGGTGTGTAATATAATTTTTTCTTTAAGGAAAACTAAATGATTAAGACATTTTCCAACAAGGTCCTATAATTTATCTTGATCTATCAGTTCTGGGAGAAATTGATGAGGTGTTGGTTTAACAACCCTCAGTGGTGACACTGCTTCATCTACAAGGACAAAAGTGAAAAGAGATTAAGGTAACAGTCAAAGGCACAAATGCGTAGTTGGCCAAGCAGATTAAAGAGACTGAAAGAAGGCAAAGGGCAGTCATCTGAAGTAAGGACTATTTTTTAGACATTTTTCAGACAGGTAGCACAGGAGGTTCTTCCCTCTTGGTATTATACAAATATAAATAGTTTATAATAATGTGAGCTAGAGTGCCTTGGCAGCAGTGGGCCTATTTTAAATTAATAGTGCATGGATGGGAGCAGAAAGAGACAGGAAGATGACTTTCATGCATGCACTGTTGTCTTGCATGCTACAGAGATTAAAGTAGCAGCATCTAGACACACCTAGGAGGAGGAGGGTGACTGAGAAAGGAACAGAAATGCAAACATAGCTGCTTTTGTTGATGACAGATACAGAAAATAACCTTGAAATCACATTTTTAAGATGGCTTATTTTTAAGCACATTATTATGTTTGAATCTGCTTATACAAATATTGTGAACATGTTGCAAAAACTTGACTTTCCTTCCAGATTTATTATTATGCAGATGCACAGACAACCCACACTGTTTATCCAGATGGCCTGGAGGTGTTGCAGTTCCCTAATAATCAGATAGGTATGCAAGAGCTCATAAATGTCAAATATACGTGTAGGAAGGTTTCTGTTATGAAAATACTCTCTGATTCTGACTGCAGCAGACTAGGTTTTCTCTTCTCCATTTACATTGTCTTTGCATTTGAAATCCAGTATGTTCCATAATTTTACTGCTCAGTTTCCTCCTAGAAGGCAAAGAAAATAATGGTTGCAAATGCATGTCTTCTAGGTTTGATTATCTGATTATTTGATTTTTTAATTTCTTTAGCAGTGTGCTGGTTATCTCCATCCTCACCACAATGTCCAAAATAATCTGATCTAGCTCCGTGCAGAGTAACACGAAAGAATACTAGACAAATGTTTTACATCTTCTTTTCCACAGAGAAGCATTATCCTGATGGCACACAAGAAATTGTGTTCCCAGATCACACAGTGAAATGCCTCTATAGTGATGGATTCAAGGAAACCTTTTTCCCAGATGGTACAATAGTTAAAGTAGAAAAGTAAGTCTGGTGTAAATAAAAGAAAATGGGCATTGTGCACAGGTACAATGATTTGACATGTAAAACCATGGTTGGGTTCTGCATGGCTGAGAAATTTCCAGATGAAAGGAGAAAGGATTTGTAAGGTTTTGCTACAATGAGGCACTGACAATTATTCACTTTCATGTTGTATGACAGATGAACATGTATCACTAGCTAAGTAGAATATTTCTCATTTAGTCCCATCTAACTTTACACTGGCTAGCATTCATGGGAGATCTCCAGTTGGCTGTGTTAACAATGAGGGTACTAAGGACTCAGGATGAGGACTCCTGAGCTCTATTCCTAGCTTTTTGACTCCCTTTCTGATCCTGGGCAAGGCATTTCATGTTTTATCTCTCTATTGCTCCATGTAAATGAGGAAAAATAACAATAGGATTTTCTTACACATGCCTCTTCCAGGCATAGGGAAGATCCTGTTATAAAATAGATTTACTGCTTGCAAAATGCCTTGAGATCCCTGCATGAAGAAATAATGTAAAACGCAGATCCCACCATCCATTAGGTATTATACTATGTATTGAAGTACATTTGTATTGAAATCTTATTGTGAGATTGGATCTCTGATGCCATCCCATGTAAATTCTGAAATGAATTATGAGCTGAGAAAGTTGTGACTTGACATTATTTTCCACTTTCATTGTGTCACATTAGACAGTGCAGTGAGAAAGGCTAATAACTTCATACATTGCTATTTGTTTCAGGAACGGAGATAAAACAGTGGTATTCAGCAATGGCCAAAAGGAGGTTCAGACTGCACAGTTCAAAAGGCGGGAGTACCCAGATGGCACTGTAAAAACTGTGTACTGCAGTGGCAGACAAGAAACCAAGTACTCCACTGGACGAGTTCGAATCAAAGATAAGGAGGGTAATGTCATCCTAGACAATAAGTGATTCCACCCCTCACAGGGCTGGACTGTATGTAAGTAGCTCAGCACATTTTCCCAGCATGTCAGACCTGTTAGGAAGAGTTAAGCCTTATGAAAACGAATGGATGAATCTGTAGGGCTGAAATTTACTTTGGTTCAGTGGCAGGTGCTTGGTTTGGAATGACCTCACCTGAATGAACTGTCTCGTGAATGAGACTTGAAGGAGTTGTGCCCTCTTCATGTAACACTAACATAAATGCCCACAGTACTTCTCATCAAAGTGTTCCACAATGCTGATCTTACTTTCCTTTGCTTTTCTGCTATTTAGTTACAAAAGTTACTACAGTCAAGGAGCATGGCATAAGAACCTCCAATCCAAAAAGCTTTTTGAATTTCAGCTCAGTGCTGCCTTATGCTGGCTAAAACAAATCTACTGGTTTGGGGCTGTTTATTTTTTTCTCAGTTAACCACCCCAAAAAATGTGGAAGTTATTAGTATTTTCAGTTTGGTTGAGTTCTTTGGAGCAGAAGATCCCAGCATTCTTCAGGCCTTACAGCAAGCTGTACATTAAACTAAAACCTGAGCAGGAGTTCAGTGAACAGTCACACCACTGGATGTCTCTTCCAATGTAAATTATTCAATAATTACACAACCATAATCTACAAAACCTGTCTCATGAATATGAAAACAAAATGCAATGTTTATTCCATTCTGGTCATTATTCTGGATGAAACAGCCCTTTCTTTTTCCTCCAGCAGTCTTTCCACCTCTGTAGACCTCCTCTATGTTGCTTTGTTTTCCAGTTAACCTCTCCCACTACTGGCTCTGTTCTTCCAGTAGTCAAAAAATATTTCTGGTCAGTGAATCTCTCCAGCTTCAAGGCTCTTTGGATTGCACTCGATACCTAGGGGAATTAATCATTTATCAGATGCTGCTTTCAACTAGACTTTCAACTAGACTGCCTGTCCATCATCTGTCTTGAATTCTCCCAAAGCACTGAAGCATTTCCCCGGTAGAGCTCAGCTCATCACCTGCCCATTGACTGAGAAGACCAATTATCTCCTCATGCCCTTCAGATCCCTATAGAAGCAAACACACGTTCATAGCATGCAGCTTTAGCTTTTTCTCACACCTAAGTGCAAAATAATTGCAATATTATGGAATTGCTTTCTTCTCTTCAGTTTCTAGTGGGTCAGACTGTTGACAAATCATGATTCAAATTACAGAGCATCTCTGGAAGAAATAGATTGAATACAGCAAGAAGCATTGCTAACACTGATCCCACATGGCAGTTCATGAATTTAAGTATGAAGCCCTGAACATCCATGCAGTTTGATGTCAGCTACTGTGATAATAAAATTGCATTGTTTTTTCTTTACTCCTTTATAACAAAGGAACAATTTATAAACCTGTGCTTTGCACTAGTGAAATACTGAATACATTTTATGTGTTTTGTAAAAGGAAACTCCAATTAAAAGAAATCCAAGAGATCATTGTTTCTCATGTGTTTCACTAAGATTTTCAGTTCTGTGTTGTCTTACACTAAAACAAATCTATGTTGTTTTGGTTTTTTTTTCTCTCAATTAAGCATCACAAAAAAGTGTATGTGATTAATATTTTCAGTTTGCCTGGGAAACCAGATGTGACATCGATGTTTTTTAGAGGACCACCATTTTTATTTCCAGGAATTCCTTTTAACAAAAGACCTGTTCTCCAGTTAATATGCTGACATTCTCTTTGTTTCCACAGTAATACAGAAAACAGTCTTTGTTTGCAGCTTTTAGCCTTAAATCACCATTTGCCATTCAATAACCTACGTATATAATCTCTTCCAATTGCAAATTAAATGTTTGTGTGCTGCTTGCTCCTTGCTTCATTAAGCACACTCTACTGTACTTTCAGGAAGCATTCTGATTCTGGAATAACCAGGCCTGCAATCCCACACAGATGTAACAGATGGGGGTGTTTGTACAAGTCAGTCTCTAAGACTGCCTGCATGCAGACGTGCATGTGTGCAAACACCTTGCTTATGTGTGCAGTCACCTTGTTAGCTCCTGCACACAAGGAAGTTCTATGGTGTAGAAGTATGGACCTGGTTCTACTGACTGGCAAATCAACAGCAGAACTTCCATTGGTGAAATCAAAGGGTGAGACTATTGAGGATTTCACAGGTACTTTTATAAATCAGTCTGTGGCCACTATTTTTATGAAGACATGTTTTTCAAGTGATATTTTATATGTAATAGCCAAGGGATTACTGAAATTAGGGGCACAAATTTGGTTTCAAAAGGAGGAGATGAAAAACACCTTTGTAAACTACAAGCTCTGTCAAGTATGTTTCAGAATCCTTCACAGACCAGTTAGGACACATGCCATATTATTTTTCTCAGACCAATTTTCACACCCTAGCTCCTCTACCTTCCACTTGCATTCGTTAACCAGAAGCAGTAATGGCCCTACCAACTACAGTTCATTGTTGCAACAACACAAATAACCCAATTTAAACTTCCGTCTATTTTACTATCTTTTGTCCTAGAGCGTTTATAGCTAACGACATTTTATTAATCCTTCAGACAGAAGACAGTTGGTAAAAACTGCTTCTCGTCTTTCCACAGGTTTTCTGGCATTAGCAGAAGCATGCTACAGCCAGTTTGAAGCCATGTTTGGCCTCAGTTTGGATTAGAATCTAGAAAACGCTATGACTTCTGAACAGAGTTGCTTCCCAAACAGCTGGGGACAGCAAAGATGTACAAGAGAAGGGCAGTATTTTGATCATCCTTTCAAATGCTTCAGTTCAGTGTTACTGTCTTTCCATGCATGGCTGATCACCAAAGTTTTACTGCAAGCAAAACAGAGCTGCCTAAACACTGTACCCACCAGGTGGGTAATGCAGAGTCTGTGCTAGAGGTTTCATCCAGTCTTCTCAATGTGATTATTTACAGTTTATATTCCGCCCTCTTTTACCTTGAGAAGCCTAAGAAAAGAATCAAAGACTGCTGAGAAAAACAATACACGAAGACTGGCATTTCTGAGGATGTTTTGAGAAATGCAGTTCTCCATTTTTATTCTGGTATTACTTTGATACTGCAAGAATTACTTTTAAAATTTGTCAGTGCTTTGATTTTCAAAATAATCTCTCATTGTAATTGCTAAATTGCATTTTTGTTAATTATGTGTTGTTTGTGCTACCTCTCTGTCTAACACAATGTCAGTGTACACCCACCTTCTTCAAGCTAAAGCTGTCATTTGTGATATGTTTATATAACCTAACTTGAAGTTACACAGAAGTTAAAGAAGTTGCCCTTTTATTTGTGTTCTGCTGTTTTGATGGTAACTCTTTGCTCAATAATTTGTTTATTTCCTTTATGATGCTCTTTACATCTGTTCTATCCCTGGAAGCTTGAAGTGCAGCTTCATTGAAAGGAAAAATAAGGACAAAATCTCCTACCCGAGGGATAGGCCTCTGGTCTTTATCAGAAAGGAAATAGGGGTGTGTGGTTAACTTGTAGTTGTGCAAGTTGGGTGCAGGTAACGAGTGGCTAGTTTGGGCAGACTTGTGTGGACGATGCCCAGCTACTGAGAGCGGTGTATCTTCAGCTTCAGCTTTTGTCTGGGAGTCTGTTTTTGGCATGTTCATCCTTTCCCGCAGCTGGGAAGTCAGTGTTTTTCTTGGATGTGGTATGGCACTTTTCTTAGTCACAGTAGCCACCTTACAAACTGATCGTCTTGCAGCCTGCAGGGCAGGTTGTACAGAGGAATCAGAATTATATTTAACCACTTTTCGGCCAGTGAGTAAAACAGGAGCCTCCCTGGTGGTGTTCTCACCAGCTGTGCGCCACACCACCCGCCTTCTGCCAGCTTTTGTCCTAGCCACTTGGTTTTGCCTGTAAGTGTCAATCTCTTTGTAGTTCAGCAGTTGAACAATATCATGAAGAAGTTTCCTTTTCACAGTATCATCAATGGAACAGTCTAAACACAAGGCCGGATTGCAGTTAACTTCTAAAAGCCATGGCTTGAATTTGTCATCAATCAGGATGTCAAAGCCAAAGAGCTCAAAGCAATTGGAAGCCACTGGTAAGGGGGTTACAGCAAGCAGGGTGAGAATCACTATGTTATTGATCTTCTGCCAGAGGAGCATGTCATCAATCCCAAATATTCGAAGGTAAGAACGAAATTTGCTGAACGTCCATTTGCAGCCACAGCCAATCCCTTCTTTATATGTTTTATATGAAGATCCGTATTTGTTGATGCTGGTGTTTGTTAGGTGGGCATAGATGTTGTCCAGAGAATCGAGGTCAAACTTTTCCGAGGCAAACCTTACCAGTCCTTCTTCATAAGTGTAAATGGTGAGGGGGCAAAAGCTGGTGACACACACATAGAGGCGCAGATCCAGTTTATACCCTGAAATGAGGAAGGGGTTGCTAATGTACTTCTGCACAATGACTGTACAGTCATATTTTAAGTCCTTAATGTCTTGGAAAATGTGTATGCCCTTTCCACCGGAATGATCCACAGGTTTGCAAATCCACAAGCTAGGTTTTCTGCCTACGGACTGTCTCTCCTTGCTGTATTCTGCTATAAATTTGACATAGTCATGGGGCATGATGAATGTCACTGGACTAAATTCATAGAGAGCTGATCCATATGCTCCTTTCATATGTTTCAGATACCTTGCCAAATAGTCTTTTCTGGCGATCCGAACAGCTTCTGGGTAGTGGTTGAGTCTCTGCCATGGTTTAATGCTCTGATGGTCTGTCAGAGTGAAAGGTGAGTTCCGCCAGTACAGGTTCCAGTCTGCATCATCTTGCTCCTTTTTGTCAAATTCAGCCCAGCCACGTTCCAGTAAAACCTCACGGACAATTTCAGGGACATTCTCATGGAGACGGAAAACCAAAGGCCTCAAGATACCTCTTGTACCATAGTGATCTCCTACCATTTCCATCTTATTAGCTGAAAGAAAACAGAATTGCCAGGAAGGAAACAATGAAATTAACACCACAGATGGCACCAGCAGCCATCACCCTCACTGTACTTTTCATGCCTGTCACTCCCAGTGAATTCACAAAGCGTGTCACCCCTGCGTGTTTCTATGGTCCATGACTGAGAAGACAAAGGCTGCATTCAAGCTGAAAGACACATAAAAGGGCATTGATTCCAGATAGCTGTTAAGGCAGCCCAAAGCACTGATCGCTGCAAAGTTACAGGTCTCCACAATTTATTTACTTTTGTTTTGCGGAAGCTTACTACAGCAATAGTTGTCTCAGAGCTTTTCTAATTCTTGGACAGTTAGAATTTTCTTTTTGCGTTTGTTTGGGGGTTTTTTTGCAATTGCCTTGAACTTAAAGCCTGCAACTTTGCCTAGTAAGACTTGCTGTGTGCTGTTCCATTGCTGAGACATTCTGCTACCTATCAGGTTACCCTGCTGTAAGTAAAACTATCATAGATAGTAGTAAAACACACACTGATTACAATGTTCTTTTCCTCCTTTGACATGTTTGAATTCACTGATAATTTTCTGCTATTCCTCCAGTGAGCTCCTCACCAGTTCCTGAAGCAGTGGGCACATTCTTGTCTCATTGCTTTCCTCTCAAGAAAATAACATCCTATAGAAATATGTGTAGATCCTGAATGAAACACCATTTCCCATTTTCTACAGTGGAAGCAGGTGATGGTGCCCTTCTATTTTTATGAGAAAGAAGCACATTTTGAGTTATTTTGGGCATAGCATTCTCACATAAACAGTTAATGAAGTGCACTCTTCCCTCGCCAGGCACTTAATAATTTATAGGACTCAAGCTAGAACACGTCCTACTGGCTGGTGGCATAGGGGGCAAAAAGTCTTATGAGCCTGTAGATTTGACAGTGTTGCTGTTTCTCTGAGTTTTAATTTCCTGAAACCCTACAGAGTTGCTCCCTGAGGATTGGACTCAGCATTTGGAATGGAGAGTGTCTTGGATAAGAGATGACCGTTCTGATACAGCATTAACATACTGACCTCCACCTCCTCTCCAAAAATAGCAAGAAAAATAAATGGGTGGGACATATGCTAGACAAGACTCCTGACCATCCTACTGCCAGTGACATCCTTGCTGTTTCTTTTCAGGTTGAGTTTGCCTCTGCCTTCCAAACAACTACAGGAAGCAATGGAACGTGTCACACCTGGAAGTACTCAACACAGGGTGCAGCTGGGTTGGCCATGGATGCTTTTTCCATGGAAAATTTATACTTGTTGAAATGGAAAGCTTTTTGCCAGAGAACAAAAGTAATCTTTTGCCAGCTTTTTTTAATTTCATTTGAATTTTTGTTTTGAAATTGTTGGAATGTCCTATTTTCATTTTTTTAAAGACAATGGTTCAACCTTTTTCTAAAATGCTAATTTAGTTTTAAAACTAAAGCCCAAATATGAAATTAAATGCTTAACTACTGTCAAAATGTAAGTTAACGTAATTCAAAAGTTTTGCAAGTCACTAAACAATTTAAGAATTGTATGTGAAACACAATTAAAAAATTATTGCAAGATGGAAAACTTATGTTTTTCCCTCCACTGTCATTTGGTGACACTCTTGTATAATGTACAGTTCTTCTGCCCAATGCATTCTGCTGCTGCTGCTGACAGGCTCTGAGGGGTAACCACAAGCAGTCACAGGGCTCTTCTACAAGCAGTGTTCTGGAGTCTGTAACAAGTGCCTCACAATGCAGAGGGCAAAGCAGGAGAGTCAATGGAGGCTTGAGAGGAGGAAGGTTATGGAGAAGGAATGCTGAGGTATTCAAAGTGAGGCTGGGAGGCAGGCCTGTTGTATCAGAAGTATACAACTACTTTAACACAGGACTGTAGCGTGTAGTTTAAAAATAGTCCTGGACCACTTTTTACCCTATAGTGAGGGAATCTGTCTGAAAATGAAGGGATTTGAAGCAAGCTTTGGTCCAGGATGTGAGGAATGAGGCTCTTACTGAAAGAGAGACCTTAGGCCTCATTAATGGGCTGAGATTGGGGCCAAGTTTCAAATTCCTGTATACAATGACTTTCTATATTCCAAAGTAATATGTAATTCTATATCCAAATAAATATGTATACTAATGTGATGTTTTACAGTCAAGAGTTGCAGTACCCTTCCATCTCAGGTTTAAGCTAGTGTTGGAGGGAAGCAAGATCTAAACTGCAGTGGGCTGATTTCTCTGGAATGTCCTTAGAGACCAAAGATTCACCCCCTCCTACAGACTGCCATTGAATTCTCCTTCGACCTTTCCTTGGGTGAGGGGTTTATAGGAAACAGGAGGGAAACATAACTAGGTACCAAAGTACAGTCATGATGTAATAGGATTTACATAAAATACCATGAAGGGAAAGGAAGTCTTGCTGTGTCTCTTACACCCAGTGCTTCTTTTCAGACCCCAGAAAGTTGGGAGCTTGCTGCTGAGTTTGCACACCAACCTAACACACGAGCAGTCTGGTCCAAGGAAATGTTTGTTAACTTTGCTTCTGATTTGTTTCCTGGGAGTTCTCTTTTCTCGTTTGCTTTTTACACAGCACTGTCACATGACAAAATGGAAAAAAAAAAACCCCAAAACTAAACAAGTTTTCTAGTAGCTGGCTCAAATAATTGGACAAAGATTAATTAAGAAAAAAAAAATGTAATTGAAAGTAGCCATGCTAAGCATTTGAATGAACCAACTTACAGGCTGCAGTTAGCTTTGTCTTTTCTGCATTGCTTGGCATTGCTACTAGCAATGTTTCAGTGAAAGCCACTGTTGCACATGAATCCCATGCTTGGTAAACTGTGCCAGCATGGCCTCCACTAGGTGATCATAAATTAAGCTGTTGGTGATGTCTGAAAAATGAAGCCTGTTTTGGTGGTTTGTTCATGTAATCTTGTATTAATGGAACCTCTTTCATACATCTGGCATTCAGACAGTAGTTGACAGGAAATCAGCGCATCAAGCCTAGATATTAAAAATGGCAGGTTCAAATTCCCTGATAATTAAGTATAAAGAAAACAAAACATTTTAACTAACAAAGAACATCTACCCAAAGTCACACCATATAACCAGAAGCTCTTGAACTGCAATTATGACACTAACTCTAGGATTAGACATTGGTCTAAATGAATGAGCACAAATTTCGCTCTCTTCACTCTTTATAAATGTGAGCCCAGATGAACACCCATCTGTTCATTAGCCTGCATTCCCAGAGGGCTCCGTGTTCAGCCCACTCCTTAATAACTTGGAAAGCCACTTGTGTGTTTGCAGGAATTCTTCCACAATGCAAAAGAGGCTACAGCTGTCTCTGACCACGCTCAAGTTTAACACCTACCAGCTGCTGTTGCCATCTGGCACCCAGAAGCAGAGACCTCCCCCCAGAGAAGAGCTGGACATCATCGTCTGTGACCTTATGGCTCCAGGGCCATGCAGCTGCACCAACACTACAACATTGGGCCCTGCACCGGCATCCTGAGGGCAGCACTCAGGTGAGCAGAAGGGTTGGAACTAGATGATCCTTAGGGTCCCTTCCAACACAAACCATTCTATGGTTCCATGATTCTATTATTCATGTGTTCACAGGTTCCAGCTACTCCGTTTTACACCTATGGGAGGAAACACAGTCCTTAATGGTTAGGCATCGTTTGCTGAGTTCATGCAGAATGCCTGTGTAATTAAACTCAGCAGACTGACCGGCAGCCTTTCCTACCAAGTCTTAAGTTCCTCGGGGTAACAGCCCATAACACACCCTGGTATCTGCCTTGCCTTGGGATTTAATTTCAGAAATAACCACTTTAATGATTTCTGCCGTGACGATTCCCGCCTGGCACACCATCCAGCTCCACCCTGCCTGTCCCAGGCCCGATTCCTCCCGATGCCCGCCGGGGCTGGGACAGGCACAGCG